TCTTTTACCAACGAATAGTGGGATTGACCGTCACATTATAACAGTGGCACAGCGGTATGTCTGCGGACTTACAACGCTAGAATCCGGCTTTCGATACCCCTGATGAGCAGAACACAGATAGCCCACTGTGTAGCTTTATGCTTAATTACAAACAACAACAACAAATAATTGAAAATGTTATACGCGTACTGTTGATTCTTCTAGGGTCAAATCCCAGACAAGAATGAAGTAAATATTAAAAGTAAGCATTGACATAAGAAGATCTATAAATGAACAGTTTACATCTTGAGGTGAAATGACGTTATAGAATTTCGGTAATTTAAAGATAGACTTTTATGAACTCTGAACTAATCCTCATTCTTCATCTCAACTAACCGCTACATATTTTTAATTAGTGATAGTGTAGTTACAAGTTCTTAAAATACTTTGTGCAATGCTTAATGGACCCTCAAATTTCTCAGGAATACTTTGTTTTATACGGAGGAATATTTCGGCTCGTATAAAAGAACAAGTGGTATTCTCAGGTGCACTGACTATCTACAGGAAAGTATAATACCCGTAGGTAAAACGAGTGTTAAACTGAATTTCTGACTCTGAATAAGTTGAATAAGAAGAGCAAACGTTGTATCCATGTTACGTTTCCAGGTATTATTAAACCCAGTGCACAGGTTGGCGTCGATACAGAAAATACATGGTGTATTAATCATATACAGCTGGCGTTACTTTGACCTTTACCGTGAGCTAATGTAAGTAGAATTAGGGGGGGGGGGTGACTTTTGTAACAAACATCATCAGGTAATTCACGGCCCTTGACGAGTTCTCTATTGTTAAAACCTATGTGCGTGACCGAAAGCACGTATGTGGAACACTTTTGAAAATTTTAAGTGAACATTAAATATTCAACTGTCTTTAATGAGAAAGACACTAAGCACGAGTTACATTTCACGTACAGGAAAAGACACTCCAGAGTAACTTGAGAATTCATCAAGCATTGCACGACACATGTTAACGAAGTGTAACATCGCTATCAGTAATGGAAAGTTTGTGATAATTAATAGAAATGACAATGAATAGCAATTAAAAATTAAAAGTTGGACATTAAACAACCGAATGTCGGCGACACAATTCTCAAGCTGTAAGTTATTTATTTATATTTTCTCAGTGATTAATACTTGATTTAAATTGTATTCCCAATAGGCAAAACACGTAGGATAAACAGTAATAACAAATCACATTAAAAATAACACCGGCTAAAACCCTGACATTATCGATAGGTGGGCATATTATACTGTCAATAGATGGCGACTCTTCAAGGAATAAGCCCAAATTTCGCACTGTGATTTTATCCTTACTGAATGCTTTTCCAGTAAATTGGCCCTGCATGGCCAGGTGGTTAAGGCACTCGACTCGCAATCTGAGGGTCGCGGGTTCGAATCCCTGTCACACCAAACATGCTCGCCCTTTCAGCCGTGGGGACGTTCTAATGTAACGGTCAATCCCACTATTCGTTGGTAAAAGAGTAGCCCAAGAGTTGGCGGTGGGTGGTGATGACTAGCTGCCTTCCCTCTAGTCGTACACTGTTAAATTAGGAACGGCTAGCGCAGATAGCTTCGTGTAGCTTTGCGCGAAATTCAAAAACAAACAAACCAGTAAATAATAGTCTCTACAAAACTGGCCATTGTTTTCCAGATGTTACATACTTAAAAAAAATTACGATTTAGTGAACCTAGGCTAATGTTTTCAGGAGTTATCAATAGACAATCTACAGAGAGGTCACAGTAGTTTCTAAATGCCTATATCTCTGTCATGAGCATTGCTTCATTTTAGTAAAATTAGAGAACAAACCCGTTCCCTACTGGTATCGGTATTAGACTGTAGTCCGATATATACTTTTATATAACAAATACCTGGAAACAATTCCACTTAATTAATAATATCTGGTCTGTTATTGGAACACGCGGAATCGATTTACTACGTTTTATAAAATGTATTTCTATATTTGTACACGTCGTATTGCCTGTTCATACATCTGTAGTGTCTTTGTGTCTCTTAGCTGAAGCACAGTCCTAATTTTTATTCCTGGCAAAATGAGCAGCAACATAAATATATGCTAAGTTCGGATCACCCGTACGTAGAACAGCTTGTCATTTTAGCTAAATCTTATATGTTGTCTAGCGATCAATAGAATACTGGATTAACTTCTGTCAATTTAGCTGTTTCGGTGCCTTTTTGTTGCTTGTGAATAATTCTCATTCTTGGAATTCCTATGGTGTATTTTCAGATATAACTTGGAATTTATATGATGTATTTTCAGATATAACTTGGAATTTATATGATGTATTTTCAGATATAACTTGAAATTTATATACCAACTTTCTGGACATGTTTACATCATTCGTGTAGAGTGACGCCCCTAATATATATTTGATATTTAATCTTGTTTCTTCTGTTTGCTCCCCAGGTGGGTCAACAGTACACTTCTGGGCTTACAATGCTAAAATCTGAGGTTCGATACCCAGCAATGAATAGGCTTCAGATAGACCATTTTGTAGGTTTGCGCTAAAACATTTCTAATGCTATATAACTACTTTATATCCATGCTCTTTCTTCTAATTGCCACAGTACTGTTTTATACGTTTATCTTCTGTTGCTGCTGTATGGCATTATTTGATATCGGTTCTCCCTCTTTCTGTTCTATAATACTAACTTGCATTCAAACCTTCAATGTCAGATCTAGAATGTAGCTTTATATCCAGGTCTGCTGATTTGATTTGCATTATCAATTTTTATCTGGAGCTTCTCGATCTGATATAGTTATACTTTATATTGGCTTCTTCTTCTCTATCCGATTTAAAGTGTTACTTTAAATATCTTCGCCTCCTTCGTCTGTATTATCTCATTTTTGATTTTTCATATTTTAGAGCTCATTCCAAGAAATAAATCTATTTCGTAATAACACACAAAATAATACAAACCACTTTTTTCTATAAAATATTTATTTCGGACGATTCAAAGAGGCAGATTTTTTTTTTTAACTAGCTGAGAGGAAAGACTGACTTCAGGTCCTGATTGTGGTTTACTTGCATGAATATGTTAAATAAAAGTATTCAAAATAACTATTCTAAAGGCAAAGTCTGTTAATTAACACGTTCTAAGATATTCCGATCATTCACACACTGTTATTCCAAATTCATCTCAGGATTTGATGAAAAGAGTGAATTAGAGATTCGTAGGATTTTTTTAGAAGTAAGATACTGGAATTAAAACTAAGAAAAAATGAAATGCATAAATATATTGCCATAATCTACTATAGATTTATATTTACTCATAATGAAAATTTAAACGCAAGTTATTTAGTTACAAACAACACTTTTAACTCTACAGCATATTGTTCCTTACAAAGAACCTGCTAAACCCAAGCAAGATTGTACAAAATAATCAGGAACTTATTACAGCGAAGCTTGTTCACAGTTAAGCAAGATCATAAAAACCATCTGGAGCTTCTTACAGCTACGTAAGAGCATTCAAAACAATAGGAAAAATTTTAAGCTAAACAAAATTGTAGAAAACTGTTAAGAATTTACTAGAACTAAGCAAGATTTAGAACTTCTTACAGTTAAGCAAGATTGTGTCAGGAACTTCTCACAGCTAAGCAAGGCTGTAAAAAACGATTAGGAACTTCTCACAGCTAAGCAAGGCTGTACAAAACGATCAGGAACTTCGTACAGCTAAGCAAGGCTGTACAAAACGATCAGGAAATTCTCACAGCTAAGCAAGGCTGTACCAAACGATCAGGAACTTCTCACAGCTAAGAAAGGCTGTACAAAATGACCAGGAACTTCTCACAGCTAAGCAAGGCTGTACCAAACGATCAGGAACTTCTCACAGCTAAGCAAGGCTGTACAAAACGATCAGGAACTTCTCACAGCTAAGCAAGGCTGTACCAAACGGTCAGGAACTTCTCACAGCTAAGCAAGGCTGTACAAAACGATCAGGAACTTCTCACAGCTAAGCAAGGCTGTACAAAACGATCAGCCACATCTTGCCGCCAGAAAGATTGTACAAAATGATCACAAAGATGTTACTCCTTATTTATTAAATCTTATAGTTTTCTACTTTCCAAAGTAATTTCCGTTTTTTTTGTCAAAGAAATGTTGTTTTTCTCAAATAAAAACAAAATGCAATTTAACTCCAGAACAGTTTTCTTTTTCTTTTGGGTATTGTGCCAGAAGAAGGTTTCTATTAACTGCACAGTATATTTTCTTTCCAATGCTGGGCCAGCAAAGATTTTCATAAACTGAATATTGTCATGTTCTTTCTCTTTCTCTTCTTTCGTTTAGAATAAAGGTCTTAATATTATGTAAATAGGTTTATATTCGTAAACTGGTAAAAACTAAAAGAAAAAAAAACTCGTAAAAATAAAGTGATAGATAGAATTTAGATTGTTAAGAATCAAAATATTGGTTAACAAAAACAAACAAATATTGACCTGCCATTCGACGCTCGTCTCTTTCATATATTACATGAAAAAAAGAGCTAAAGCCAGTCACTTTTGTAGGTTAGTAGACGAACTTATTTTATTCGCGTAAAATTAAATCGAAAGTAAAAGCTAGACACATTTGCTAATCATTTACAGAAGTCCAATTCTTTGTGGTAAAGATTAGCATAAAAGTAAAAACTAACTGATTTTCCATAATTATCAAATAACAATATTAGATAAAATGTCTATACAAAAATATTCATTGTAGTGGTATTCCAGGAAAACCTTGTTCTCAGTAATACACATCAACTAAAATATAGAAACCTTAGTAAATCACTGAAGGAAAGTCAGTTCTTAAGAGTTAAAGATTTTATTAAAATACAATTGTTTGTTTGTTTGTTTTGTAATTAAGCACAAAGCTACACAATGGGCTATCTTTGCACTGCTCACCACGGGTATCGAAACCTGAATTCTACCGTTGTAAGTCCGCAGACATACTGAAAGACTGAGAAGTATATTCACAAAACAAACTTGTTTTATCTTAAAGTGTATCATAAGTATCATGTACAAAATGTTTTCAAATATAGGTTCATCCAACATGTATCTGCATGTCTGTGTAAGTCAATGTCAATGTCTTACAAAGAAAACACGTACTAATGTGTATTTGTTATCACAGGCGGACTTGAAACAGCTGCGGTTTTTCTGCTATTCTCGGAGAACAAAAAAAGCGACAAGGTTAAATTTTCCGTTGACTTGCAGCCGTCACTCCAGTTCTTTCCGTACCACAACTGACGTCATTGCGTCAACTAACCAATGTAAGACAAATGACCCACCTCCACAAATTGGAATGAAATCATTCTCCAACCCTTTGCTCCCAAAATAGCCACCGTACCTAGAAAACGATATCATATTCACACCAAGATATACGTCAGTGTTATATAATCGTGTTTCTTTTGGTTGTGTTAAGGATAGTATATTTGAATGTATTCGTTGTATAAACAGTATAAAATTATTATATAAGCCCTTTGTGGTAAATATACTGTATTTGAATATATTATCTTCATTATCTCGTACGATATTATTTGCTTTGTATTTCTTTGTTGTTGTAAAAAGATTGGGTTATTACAACAACCTTTTTTTAAAATATATATAGTGTTTTATACTTCGGTTATTTATCTAATTACTTAAGTCGTCTGTATCTCCATTATCTTCTTCACCCTTTGAAAACCTCCAATTTAAGAGATTGACTGAGATGTAACATATTAATTGACTTAAAAAGTAATATTTCTTTGTGAATGTACAATTATTTCTATGTTTCAGATTTGTTTTCAAAAATATTCATTTATGAGTCAGATACTTTCAGGTATTCTATTGTAAAAACTCCATTTCTATAGGATAGAATATATCGTATAATGCTTGGTGTATCACAATAGCATTTGAAGTTATGTGTTAATGGGTTTTAACATTAAATCTCAAGAGCACTACAATGTACAATAAAATGCTTAATGTCAACTACATTTTCCGTGTGTTATTTTTGGTATCAGTGTATGATTGTCGTATAGTAAACCATGTTTTTGATTCCAAAAATAAAATAGGAATATTAAATACAAAGGAAGATCAAATTTTACAAATTTGAGAGATAGAGCAATTTTTAAACAGTTTTGTAAGAGCTTTGGTTGCTAAAGTAATCACCTTACAAACTACACAACTATTTCTATGGGCGTTAACATGAGAATATACATATTTCCACTGTTATACCTTGAATGCGTATTGCGTTGAAAAAACAAAACACGTTAAGTACGTAAGTAGGAAAATGTGAAGAAAACGTTCCGTGTTGATGCACTGTATTTCAAAATAATTACAATTTTAGGGTTCGAAAATACGTAAACAAAAAAGTTTTATTTGCTTGTTCTCAAGCCTAAAGCTACACAATGAGGCATCTGTGCTGTGCCCACTATGGGTATCAAATGAACGTTACAATTCCTTGATTTTTAACAAAAATATAAATTAATAATATACAATTCAAATGTCAAAGATAGCAGATTATTCATTCTTATGAGATTTAATGAAATACGATAGGCGATTGTTTTTTCATACAGATATAATAACTGTAACATAAAAACATCGATCATTTTTCTAATTATAATGTTCATGCTTTATTAAATATACATAGCTAAGCACGATTGTATACTGAAAGTATTAAAAACTGGAAAAATAAATTTTAAGTGATAGTAAAGAAATATTTCGATAAAGTTTCGAAAACGGAGCTGTTTTTGTCGTATTTTATTAATCACTGATTATTCGTTTGAGTGTTTGATATATTTGATGTCATTGAGGTATTTCTTTGATGAGTCGTTTATTGAGGCTGTTGTTATTAAACTCCTTAATATAAATGTGACATGCGTTGAGGAAAATAATTATAGTTCCTGATTAAATTGATGGTGTGTAAGTCTTTATTCTTAATAAGGTGTAACACATAGAGTTTGAGTACGTTATATTAAAACGATTTTGGAGCTTCA